AAAAAAAAAAAGTCAAATTCGTGAAATGCACGATAATCCGCTATCCCCACTGTTCTTTTCACTTGCGGGTGTTTTATTTATTTATTTTCTACTTCATTTGCTTTTTAAAGCATTCTGAAAGAAAAGTAGTCCGTCTGTAGTTTCTAAATGAAGGTTCCAAGCAAGCAGTTAGGCAAACAAGTGGTTGATGACATTAGCATATAGGAAAGGCTACAAAAGAAATTGAACTGTCAGCGCTTCGAATGGCGATAGTAATGAAGTGATAATATAATATCACAACACACTCGCCAGGCACTACAATTACAGAACTGTCGAGCTCTTATAAATGTGACAACATGGCGAAACTAATTCCGCTTGTTCTCCTTTGGAGACATTTTTGGTATTTGAGATAGTTTCTGTCACTCCTATACATTAACTCTTTCTCAATCACTGGTTACATCCGATGCTACAAAGCCATTAAAACACCTTATTACCTTACCACCCCTGTGTATAAACTCTAGCCGATAACCAATAGAGAACAAAATGAAGGTTGCAAAGTGATCTTTCCCGTCCATCTTTACTAATAAGCATGAGCATAAAACGCCACGAAAGCATGTGGCAGCGTTTAGTAAAGCATAATCAGGTCTGTAAAAACAAATACTCTTCACCCCTCCCCCCTCATTTCATTACTGCAGTAATATAACTTTCATGTGAGAACACAACAAAAGCATCATCAACCTTTATCATATTTGGTTAATATTCAAGCAGGCGAAAACCATCAAAGAAAAACGATGTTTGAACCACAGAAAACGCAAGTCTGTTTTATTTAACCAAAAAAAAAAAAACGATTCAAGGGTGAAAAATGTGCCTCGGTGATTGGATACAACATTAGAAAATGGAAATCCCAAAGGGTACTAACGTAAAGGTAATAATCATCAAATGTTTTGAACAATGTCTAAATAAAATCATTTCAAGTAACAAGTCTGATTACGAAAAGAAATAATTTTAACACACTAAGTAGAGGAAGCAGGTTGCTAAATTACGCGAGAAAGAACTACAAATGCGACAAAACCAAACAGTATCCAAAAAAAAAAAAAAATCCATTTTAAAACGCGAACAAGTCAACTTTAGATTCAAACAGTGCCCGCATACAACCCGTTTCAGGAGTAAATCCAGCAGCGAGACGACCTTTGCTCACTGTGCGAATATGTTGCACATAACCCATAGAAGAAACATTCTCCCAAGTAGGCAAAGGTGGGCCATTGATAAGTAAATCTGGCGGACGATAAATAAAAGGAGCACCGCTGACCCGTAGGGGGCCAAATGTAGCAGTCTCCAACTTTTTCTGCTGCGCTTCTGAAATAAGAATGCGTGGTAAAAGCACTATTTCTACTACAAACAGTTCTGTTATCACTAGTCATAATAAAAGCAATGAGAGTTTTAACACTCAAAGATTTGAAATATGAGAAGGATACCTAATTTTAGCTTTCTCTTCCTTTTAGCCGCTTCTTCCTTTTCTGCCAAGTCTGCTTCAATCTGTCGTTTCCTCTGTCTATCAAGGATCACTTCTGCAGGTAAATCAGAGTCTTTCAGTTCTTCAATGATAGATTTTGCATTCACAACGTTACCCGATTTTTGTGCTAACCCCTAAAACATTGAAAACACAGAAAATCTGAAAATCAATAGACCTATTTCAACATACGACATCTGCAAACAATCCGTCTGCAATAGAGTTCAACAGTTTAAAATTTTTGAAATATTCTCAATTGAGTTACTGAATGAATAAAAATCTCATAAACAGCGCTAAAAAAGAAGAATGGTAAAGCCAAAGGCTCAACATACATCATCATTATAACCATTCCTCTCTTTTCTTTCTTTGAATCTCCTTTCCTCTTCCAAAGTGCGCTGGATAAACAACTGATCTTCATCCAACTGAATAAAACTTAATAAAGTAGTAAGGAACTTGTGACGCATATAGATCTGATACCAGCAAACACGAGAAAAAAGTGCTGTAGATTTTAAAAGCTAACAAGAAAATTTTAATTGAATTGCTTCAATAATAACGTCGTTACTACATTTACACAGACCTTCTTTTTGTTCTTTTCGATTAAATCGCTGTTCTTTTCCTTAAATTTCTTTATTTCTGCCTCTGTCTCCTCAACATCAATATCGTTTGCTAGGTTCATTACGATTGTTTCAAAATGCTCCAAGTAATCATTAAACTCTCGCAAACTTGGGAAGTCTTCTCGATGGAGATTATAAATCTAAACAGCATTATGGTTACAGATCCAGTTCTCAAATTATACAGGAGAGAATCTCATATAAGCCAACCTTTTTTAGCTTCTTCCGAACGTGGTTTTCTCTTTCAATGATTGGATCGTCAAACGTTTGTTCCCAAAACCCTTTTTTATACAAGGTCCTTCCACATTGAGGACAAGGGCCACTGTTACGTGCAAACAGGTTCTCTACACAGTTTCTACAACACTAATTTCTTAATTTTTAATTATTCTTAGGAAATGCAACGACAGCAACAATATATCAATGTCGTGTTAAAAATTTTAAAATTAACTTTGATAAAAAATTCATAGAGAAGTTGATCTTTTCCGCGTCTACTAGACAAAATCTACAGTTTCTGATAATGACTATGAACAGAAAAGAACCTGCACAGTGGATGGCCACATTCGTTAATCATCATCACCATAGAACGGTTATTATATTCTTTTGTTTTGCACTTCGGACACTCTCGCATTGTCTTTATAGCACAAAGAGTAATGAACTAACAACTGTTGGGAACAATTTTACCACTAGTTTCGCTTTCCTCAACCACTAGTTTAGACGAAGGGTATAAACGGCCAATTGCAACCTGGCGGCGAATAACTCTCAGTAACTTTTCCTCTTTCTAAAATAAAGGGAGTAATTTCAAAAGAATGCTAGGAAGACCTGTGTCAGAATAACGCCAGGTACTACAGTTTCAAGACCGCTTAAGAAAGATACCAAAAGAGGAAATAGTTCCAAAATATCCTAATCAAATTCCCCATGCACTGTGACAATTTGTGCTGTGTACTTGTAAAAAAAACGCAAAACAAAAGTATACCTTAAAGAATTCTTCGGCTGGCAAATTCTTATTTGATATAGCACGAGAAAAATGATCCCTTATTCTCTCTTTAAAAAATTCGCGGTAACTATATTGTGGAAACTAAAATATCAAAAACTTCAGTCCGAAAATCAGTAACTGTTCAAAAAGAATGAACAGCATGTAAGTGGAAAACTCGCCTGAGCAGCGGCCCTCTGAAGGTCTTTATAAAGTTGAATCCACGCACCACGCGGAATAGAGGCCATCAACCGCTCTAAATAGGTCCAGTTAGATCTAGAAATAAGGGTTTTAGCCAAAAATCGCAAAAAAGATATATTATAAACCGCTGAAAAAAAAGGAGGTGCACGGAGAGGAGTGAAAAATGAGATAAAATGAATGTACCCGACTGTCGTTCCAGACAATAAAGGTAATATAAATTTACTCGGCTCAGATTTAAAAAGGAATATTAGAATAAAAAGTACAAAAAAGTGAAGAAAGATTAGCTTTTGTTTCTACACAATTTCTGGGCATTTTGAAGGCCGAAAATACAATCGTAACTTTATAGTTCTTGAGTTTCAGTCAAGATCTCGGAACTTTTTGTTTAGGACTTAAAAGCTTTCACTAAAACTCACCAACACCTCCAATGTCAGTCTGTCCTGCAGCCTATATAGCTCAGAAACCACGGAAGAATGATGAATGAACTCAAGAGCAACTGTAGACCAGATTGTCTTGACTAATCTCCGACAATTTACACTCTGCTCTACCGACGGCTCTAGGAACGCACTTGGAAAACCGCCAAGCAACGCTTTCTGCCAGCCTTTCGGAGTGTTTCTTAGGGTCGGTTAGCGGCCCGTGGCATATTCCTGCAGTGCAGGTGTCGTGTAGCACCTTGCTATCCCGTTGGTAATGTTAGCATCTAGCAATAAGTGTTTGTGGAATAACACCGAGACAGACTGAGGTTTTCTATTGTAAAGAATTCGAAATAAGAATTATATATACTATTTTTGATGAACAGAGATAGCTGACAAAAGGTAAAGAAAAAACAAAGGATATTGTTGCTCCATCTTATGTTTTATTAGCTTCACAAGAAGTATGTGCTCGAGCTGTCATTTAAATATAAATTTACTTAATGCGCGGTTCTGCTTTTCCACCGGCACTGAGAGCAACAATGGTGAAAAGAAGGTTAGGTGTTATTTTAGAATTGATACGAACCTTAAAGGAACTAACACTTTTGGAGACAGCACTTTGGTTAAATAAGTGGAGCAGTTTTATATTAAACAACTTTGGTCCGTCTATTAGAACCAATAGGAACTTAATATCAGCAAGAGGGAATGTAAGTTGAGAAGCTTTTCATGGAATAAGGCTGGGAAAATCAAAGAAAAAACTTTCAAAGTTATTGGACAGTGGAGTCATGACCACTGGCTGCTAAAAAATCACAAAGTGTAATTTTGAGATTGCCTCAGCAGATAACCGTAGACGCTAACTTTATAATTTTTATGGTTAAAAAATAGTTTCATAGTTGAAAGCATTTGCGAATAATTGTCTTTACAAGATCAGACTCTTTTCTTACACTAAAAACCAGCCTTGTTCCATTATTAAAAAATTCTTTACGTTAAAAAGAAACACTAATGATTACTGCTCAACACCATCAAGGAGAGTGATTAGCTGCACCATCATTTCCTAATGAGTGAAATTCCATGTATATTATAGCTTTACCCTCTGCTTTTGAGCGCTTGTAAACTTGATTGTTTTTTAACCATTTCACTAGTTTATAATGAGACTCCCGTGAAATCTCACAAATAAAAATCAAACGTCGAATTTCCCCCGATGGTTATGAAGCTGATATGAAAACTGTTTCACGAAAAAGATTAAAAGTACGACGCTGCTTGAAAGCCAGCAAACGACAACAAAGAGGGTCATCTTCCTGTAACTTATTCAGACGGCACTGTACAGCTTATAAGCGTCATCCTATGCCAAAGTTTCCGTCGCTTTTCAGCAGATCTACGTGCATTTTTTAGAAGCTTTGGTAGTGGTCTCGGGTCTGCATTTTGATGAGTTGTGCATACGTACAATCGTTTCATTGGCTGAGGATTATCTTCTGAAAAGGTTCCACTGTATCACTCACTGCCAACCTTTTAAGACTGACTCGTCTGAGTTAAAGGTCCTTCTTCTTCAGTAACTGTGGCAAAGTTTCAAAAGTGTACTGAATGGTTTAGGCTTGGACAATTACCGTTATGATGTTGGACAGAATTTATGTTGCATTTCAGCCGCATACAATCGTTAACAACACAATGCTTGTCGATCCGGCATCATCCATTAATGTATTTCCCGCTGAAGCGTCTACATTTGTTTCTTCTTTCCATCATTTTTTGGTTTTCTAGATAAGAATTGGGATAGTGCACTAATGGCTTCCTCCCGTAATTCAACTTATGTAAGACGACTAAGTAAAAAAAGTTAATAGCAGCTTCCTTAGCTAGTACTGCAACCTTCTTAGCTAGCT